GTTGGTATCCCAGGGTAAATTTCTTTGATCTGGTACTCATAGTACAGGGAATTACCCAGATTGTGTCCAATATTACCTCGGGAGATATACGGGGTGTAATCTTTAAGTGTGCCGAGGCGATTATTCCGTAAATTTATAAAATATCAAAAACCTTTAAACTGATATCGAAATTACATATGCCTAATGAGTAAAACAACATCATTCATTTTTCAAAAATAGTACTAGAAATATCTCAAATTTTAACGTTAAATGCTCACATACTTTAGTAATATGACATTCGTAGAGAAGCTTCAGTTTCGAACAACTGCTTTGAATTCAAAATTTTGTACCGACTTAAAAATAAACATCACCTTGTTTTTATTCAATTAAAATATAGGTAGTTATTATAAGTACTTTACTTATAGCAGTTTCGTTATCTTTAAACTTATTGTTAGAAACCTTTTAAATTAGGTCATCTAAAGCCTTTCTACGAATGTCATATCATATTTCTAGGTAACGTACTTTCTATATCAGTTTTAAGGCTTTTGATATGTCTTATATTTACGGAAAAATCGTCTGGGCACACTCGATTACGCCCAGTAAAACACGGCAAAGAGTAGTTCCAGTGGAGCTAAGCTCTACGCATTAAGAACTAAGGGTCGTATTCTAGAACTCTACTCAATGCTCAAGTCAGGACTTGAGTATGATTTCAAGCCCTGGAAATACTACCCTAATGGCAAGGACTTGAGTATGATTTCTAGCAAGTACCTGCCATTAGGGTCGTATTTCCTGTGCTTGTGTTTCCATTGCAATCCTGACTTGAACATTGAGTAGAGTTCTAGAATACGACCCTTAGAAACGAAATGATCGAATGATATCTTACGTTTACGTGACTTTCGTAAGCACACTTCCGGTGACTTTTAAGTATCTACACACATACTTAGTCATGGTTATAATTAAACTGTGACTTTTTAAAATAACATTGTCGATATGGCATTTTTTTTGGCAGATTGTATATCTATTACAAGTAAAGTCAAAATATGTAGGTAACCAATGTAATTTCACCGAAGGGATCATAGGGTACTTATACCTACGTTTTACGATTCAGTTTATAACTGTTCTTTTCTGTTCGATTAACAATTGGGCTTTAGTTCTATAGGTAGGGTAATTTTTTTAACTATTCTTTTTTCGTCCGGATCCTCTTTCTAGACAATACATCGCTTTTAAGAAATGATGCTTTATGACTGCTGCAGTCACTTTTTGCAATGCGGTCCCCTTATTCGTAGCTCCTTTTTTGTAAGCGAACTTGGGATCACAGAAAGACCGTGGGTAGGATTCGTTCCTTAGAAGGGGCTGCAAATCATTTGTTTAGAAGTGATTGTTTTTATAACAGATAGTTACCATGATTTTTTACCCAACACTGCGGTAAGCTTAGGACGGTACAACATTAAATCATTTGAGAAATATCATTTAACTTTATGTGAATGATACTAAGAAATAAAATTATTTTTCGGATCTAAATCGCGTCCATATTTCTTTTTTCAAACATTTCCTACAGGTTCCATCGAACGTTGGTTTGCAAAAACAAGTCTCCGCGATATATATCCGAAAAATTGATTCATTTTCTATGTATAACAATTTATTGAGAATACCTTGCAACTGAAATTCAAATTCTAAAATTCAAAGCCAATTTTTCAATTGTATATAGCCTATGGCAGTTGCTCAGAGGTCGTTTGACTCGTAATTCTGATTGTAATTAATTAATGATTAAATAACAGTCTAAAACAGTGGCAACGACTAATCTTCGCTAGTGACATTTAATTAAACAACGGATCGGAAAGGAAAATTGTGTTACTATAAAAACGATATCAGCACCAGCATTCACACAATATAATAAAATAATACATATCAATGCCTTACTTTCTTAAACTCGTATCTTATAAAGAGTGATTATTCAGGAAGTGCTAAAACTTTCTAATTATTTTAAATTTCTTATCAAGGGGGTTAATTTGGATGCATTACTTTAAGAATAGGTAAATGCCAGTGTGTGAATATGAAGGAAATGTGATGTGAAAACAACCTGCAAAATTTGTATATACAGTCTTGTAATTTGTATATACAATGAGTTTGAGAAAGTAGGGCGACGATATGTAAGGTCTTATGTAGAATTTATTTTAAAGTGATAACTTACAAAACACAAAGTTTTAATGAAAATAAAAAACAAAATTTAGGATATCCCTACGATTACAATAAAATTCTACAATATGTTAGGCAAAGCGTCGTACCAATTCAAGGAAAGGGTAAAATAGAACAGAATTATCTAGTTCGTGGAACTGGTGCTGCCTAAATAAAGGGTTTTAACCGTAAAAGGAATTAACTATTTATTAGCCGTAAGTAATCAAAGTACCTATCTACGTAACCAGATTCCCGTTGCTATGCAACAATAATACCTATAAATACGTATACTTATTAAAGGCCGTAAAGTAAATAACGCTTGCCTTCTGAGCCAGAACATTTCAGTTTTATAAGTAAATATGCAAGGTAATTTATAAAGCAACGAATACAGTCTTTAACTGTGAACTTATAATTGTACAGGACAGATGCCAATAAAATAACATTAACGCATGATTTTTTTACGTTGTCCTTGCCTATATTTGTTATAGGTATCAGTCTTTCACGTCTCACGGCTGGGCGCGAGTCGTCTCTAAAAATATTTACTGAGACCTTAATATGCATTATATTATTCGGTGGCGATAACTTAGCTTTTAACAATGATAACGAGTATTATTCGTAAGTAAGAATATATATAGGTATAAAATTCCCTGTAACTTTTCACTTCGAAAACGATACGTGTAATAGCTACGAAAGATTTATTGTAACAGCTATTCAATACCCGTCTCCATAAAGTTTTTTCGAATAGAAGTTGATAAGTCATGTGAATCATCCATGAGAGCACCTACCTAATTGTGTAGTCGGACTAGTATGCCTTCCCTGTATCACGTACAGAATTAATAAAAATTGCACTATTCCATTCCCTAATTCTGCTCGTAGGTACTTATATTAGACACAAGGCAAAATTTCAGAATTGCATGGGATCAGATCATCTATGGATCAGATGTAGATAGATGGGTGTTATTTACACATACTTATTTTTCTAGTGTATAACTACAAACATTCATAGGTCATAATTAGTGTGTTTAATCAATGGCCGGTATTATTATTTTTATTGGCTAGAGAAAACAGTTGAATTTTCGTTCTGCGTGTTGTTTTTTTGTAATTAGCTGTGTACTCCCAGCTAATTACAAAAAAACAACTAAACTAAAGATCGTATTCCAGGACTCTACTCAATGCTCAAGTCAGGACTTGAGTATGATTTCTAGTGCTTGAATACGGCCCCATGACTTCCTTTAAAATATTTTTTTTTTATTAAAGGAAAGTAATTAGGGATGTTTTTGTGGAAAAAAAACCATATCGATATAATATTCTATATTCTGTAGAGTTCAAGAGTAGTAGGCAGTAAGTAGGGCACTTCTCACCAGTGACACTTTATATTTTTGTCAACGATTATACTAAATGCGACATTAATATGATAAAGACTTAGACGATAACGTTACCTACGGACATAGTTCCTTGTTTTCGTATTAATATCACATAAACCGTATCTTATCAAGAATGAAATGGCATAGAAAAGATAGTTTAAAACCAAATTTAAATTTATATTTAGTTCATTATTCCTCTAGCTTGTTTATTATGGCGTTCTATTATGTATACTTTTTATTGGTCGTTTACCCTACTGTATTGCATGTTTCACCGTTCCATGAACGCTTTACCACGTACAAAAGGAGATGCCCCAACGAAGGGGATTGTATGGCTTGTGTAAAAGGGAGCACAGTAGAGTAGAACGGTTTCGTTTCGAGTTCGCGCCCTTTTTTTGTGAGTGGCTGCGCGCTTGGCGTCACATCAACCTCGCTGTTAATTTTTTTGTATCGGATGATTATTGTCTCAGTATGGCGTTTAGCGTCGTTTTGTAAATTTTGTATACTGTTCTGAGAATTTCAACGATAGCACGGTCGATAATTATTGATATTATGAGGACAAACAGACGTGATCTGTAAAAAACTGTTTTTTAATATCTATTCATGAAAAATAAATCAATTTAATGGGGATATTACACATTACATTTTATCGCAATATTCATTGAAGTATGTTTTCACGAGTTGTAGTCACGCGTATTAACATTTTATACCAACTAGCTGGTGCCCGCGACTTCGTCTGCGTAGACTAAGTACTTCGAGTATGTAGCCTAGTGTATTATAATAATTTTCATACTTTTATTCGTTCTTCATACAAACTCGCAGAACTTATTTCACCCCAAAATTAGCCCTCGTGCTTTTCCTATTCCATCTATCTCTATGACAAAATTCATTAATATTGGTTTAGAGTTTTAGGCGGGAAAAGGTAGCAGATAGAGTTAGTTTCGCTTTCATGTTAGTTTGGATTTACAATCCAATGATTCTCGGAACATTTGTTCGAATTTAAAAAAATTACGCATCAAACATCAATCAGAAACGGAGTATGATTCTAGTAAAATACTTTATGGTCAATATATACTTTTTTGTGAAAACCGAATTCGTATTTCGCTATACCAAAATATAATGCAAACAGTACCTACATCGATTTTGAGATCGATCGATATTCAAACAAAATATGCAATATCTCGACCACAGTAATCTGGCCATACATTTTCTTGCGGTACAGCGTTGTGGTCACGTTTTATTTGCCTGTAAATTGTCTTGACTCACTTTTCATGGGTTAGATCACATAATATTTTGTGGTTGACATACTAGATATAATAGATACGGGAAAAAAACAACCACTTATTCAGAAATTAAAGTTCAAATTAAAACAATGAAATACAAAGCACATCACTTTATTAAAAAATACTTACCTAATAATAATACTTAACATCATGTAACATACATTTAACACTAATTTTATCAATTTTGTTTTCACATAATTGAGGAGTTTCATATATTTACATATTTATTGATAAGAAATATTAATGGATTAATGGGAATGGATTTAGAAATATCACAATACTTTCGACTCTCAAAACAAAAGATACAATAATAATAAAAAGAGAATCTATGGTTCTTATAGTATAGTGCACTAATTAGCAATACCTGCGACAATGATTATAATATAGGACCTGCCATACATTTGACTTAATTAAATTATCGATGCTTAATTTCTAAGGAATTGTTAAATTTAAAGAAACCGGAAATTTACATATAAATAAGTAAATCCCCCAATTTTGGCAATAACATTATAATTAAAGAAAAGTTCATGTATTTACAATCGGCGATAGAATTTTCAAAATACATGTATTGGATATACCATTAATAAAGCAACGTAAAGACGGTTCATGAAATTGATCATGATTGAGTTCTAAACCAAAAAAAGTTGTAAACAGACGGTTTGTGTTACTTGTCGTACATTTTTGTCGTAATTGAAATTCACATAAAGTAATAGAGTTGAGATTTTAATCACTTCCGCTCCCACTTCCGCTTTCATCTGCCGACCCCATGGACGCGTCTGCCTCAGAAGATGAACTTTTTGATTTTTCTTTCTTCGTATCTTTGCTCTGTGGAGAATAATCACGTATTATGAAAAAGTTAAATTAATCTCCCATAAATTCACCACCATACAATTCAAACTTCCATAAAATCACCACGTTTTTCAAAACAAACTGGGCCGTCCATTTTGCCACTGTCGTTCAGTTACCGTTAAAATTATCTAAGCGTCAAGAAATACTTGTGCATTTGATAAAAAATAATCTCACCTCCACAAATAGCATTTTTAACCATCACTCAATTGAATACAATATTGTTTTTATCTTTGCAGGAGTTTTTTTACCACTGAATGCTTAAGACAATTTTGACGCTCACTGTACTTATCACGTGGTATTATTAATTCTTTTTTAATTTATTTTCCAAAACAAAATTTGTGGTAGTAGTTAGTAAAACGAATGGTAGTAGTTAATATACAATAACAGCTTAATATAGGTTATTGATTGTAAAAAAAAGTACGCCAGGTTTATGATCGTAAAAAAAAGTACGCTGTAATTTTTTTGGCTAATTAAATGCTATAAAAAATCAATATACTCCACCTCATAAGATAAAGGGTGAGAAAGAAAAGTAGGAAGTGTTATAAAAAGGTGTATCGATAAATCTTCTTTCCAATTATTAAATAATGTTTCCTGACCACCCTTGGACATCTCTTTTTAGAAGTGAGGCGTAGTTTTGAATGACACCCTCTGGCTGAGACAAATTAGTACTAGATCTTGATATAGTGGAATTACCTATATTCATGGTTGTCAGCAGAAGACACTAAGATTTTAGAAGATTTTTTGAATAAGCCTGCATCATAAAAACACTAACATAAACTATTAATTTCAATTAAAGAACAATGTTTAATTTGGATTCCCAAAATTTTTTTGTCACGATCGGTTAAAAATTTATATCCATCTAAATATACTTCATAAAATAAATTACATTCATAATACTTTGAAAAAGTTAGAGAAAAAGTGAAAAGTTAGAAGGCATTGTACATTTTTGTTTTTGAACGTAACACAAAATACATTTTGACATTTTAAGCGTCGTTTACACTTGCCATGATTTCTTCATCGATTAACCTTCAACTTGAAAGGACTATGCACGAAAGTTACAATAATTGTGATACCGACTAATCTTCACTTCAAAGTTGTCAGAAAATTGAAGGAGAAATTACCTCAACGTTGGACAAATCGTTAGTGTAAACGAGACTTCAAACTAAATGTCTAAATCTGTGTTGTGTACATTCAAAAATAAATACTAACATCACAGTCAATTTTATTGCAAAATTTTTAGAAAATCGTATCTCTGCACCATTTTTATCTCATGCGTCTGTCGTAGTTCGTAGTGAATCTACGTGTTACTTTTAATGTGGACCCATGTATACATACCTCAGAAAAATATTTAACTATTGTACTACAAAGTAACATTAATGTTCATTATTAACCTCAAAAAGAAAATGTTGCTTAAATCAACTTTCTCTAGTTAAAAAAATATTAATTCTGTATAATCAGAAACTATATGGAAATACAAATGAAACAAATGAAACCGTGCCTCTGCGATTGACGGTAGTCAACTTTTTTTACACTGTATGGAATTTGGGCATTGTTCTTTGAGAAACTTAATATTTTCCACTTGACCAATTTAGTGACGTGAATGCCTTTTATAGGCTTATATATATAAACTATGCCTTACTAAATGTTGCTTTTCTGTTTGAATGTATTTACATGTAATCTATTGGTTTCCCAAATAAACAAGTAAACTTGTTAACTTCTAGATTTTTAATAAAGTACTCACATCCTTGCTATCCTTTTTCTTATCTTTCTCCTTCTCCGAATCTGAAGAGCTGGTATCATCGTCAATATACTCCTTACTAGTAAACTTCCCTCCAGACCCTGCGCTCGTGTTCTTTACCTGCTGAAAATTCGTAATATTACGGTATTAAATAAGTGGTTTTAGTTAAATTAGAGCACGTTTTGCGATTTCGTACGTATACAAACTAAGTAAAAGTGACTGCTTCCCATTATACCAATTGGTCAAATAAACAAGATTGAGGTCACGTGGCTCCATTACATCAACCATGTGATTAGGTGAAGTTGTAATGTAATTAATAAAATTGATAAATTAATTTGTCTTATTTTTCTCTATTGTAATTATATGACTAAAGTCAAATGTGATTTTTCTTGTCTTTTTAATATTATAAATAAATATTAGACAATACGTTGCTCTGATCCCAAAGTAACTAAAGCCCTAGTCTTATAGGAAACAACGACGGCACCACAAATACCCAGACCGGAGACAATATAGAACAGTTTTCTGCTTTGACCTGGCCGGGGATCGACCCCGGAACCTGAGATGGCGAAACCATGAAAACCGTTGTACAAGCCACTCGACCACAGAGGTCGTCATTATTATGTAACCTGTAAAGAGCTCGAAACACAGGTTTGTTTGAAAAAACAAATATACGCGATTTTAGATCCAGACTCTTTTTTCTGAAACTGAAGCACTCTATATAATTAATTATCGAAATTATTCCAATTTAACGAAATAAATTACTATTCTCAAGTAGTCGATGATACCAGTATCAATTATACTAATTGATCCGTTCTTTGTCTTACAAAACCTCAGTCGCGAAAATTTAATCATTCACCTTCATTCATTACTCCGTTTTTTTTTAATTTTATGATTAGTTAAATAACATTTATAATTATTATTTAATAGTATTACTAGTCTCCTTTTCTTCCTTCATTTGTCATAAACAACGCATTTCCATTCTGGTAACTTGCGAGAAAGTATATAAACTGTGAATTACGTTGTTTTTTCTTAACGATAAAACTGAAACTAAATAAGACATAAAACAAACCGCTTACATGGGGTTGTAGATGTCGTTTCGCTGATTCCATCTCAAGTTTGTTAAAAGTTTATGATAAGGACAGAAGTGTTGACTACCGAAATAGACAATACATTGACCATGCATCAATCAATATAATTATATCAATTTTAGGTAAATCAGTACAGAGTACTAAAAAACTGACCTCAAAAGTACGTGGAATTATATCTATTTGCCAAGTTTTATTGAAATCATTTATCGGAAAGTGCGCGAAACCGGATTAATTCCCTAGTTTGTCATCCTTAGAGGTGGAATATTTTCTTTTCAAATTTAAATGGGGCCCACTACTGGGTACCCTCTTTCCAACAAAAAAAGAATCATCAAAATCGGTTCACAATTGCGTTACCGCGTACTATGCGTACAAAAAAAATAGTCGAATTGAAAACCTCCTCCTTTTTTTGAAGTCAGTTAAAAAGACGAACAATATAATTTCCTTTCATTTAATGTTTACCTTTTTCGCTGTACTGGGTTTGGAAACTTTTTTCTCGGCCTGTTTACGTTCCTTCTGGGCTTGCTTGGTCTTCTTCTTAAACTCGTCAGCAGCGCCACTGTCTTTATATTTCTTCATAGCTTGGTTGTATTCCTCTGTGACCTTAATGCCAGGGTTGTCATCGATGATCTTCTTGCGGCTCTCGTTAAGCCATAACATAAACGCTGTGGCCGGACGTTTAGGCGCGTTCACGTCTTTCTCGCGTTTCTTCGACTTGTCTTTGCGCTTGCGTGGCGTTTCTGACTGTAATACAAATTACATTTAGATTAATTTATGTAACACTTAATATGCGATCAAAATATAAAGTAAATTAATTTCTTCTGTAAGTGATGACTTGCAGTGATCGCTGATGGCAATTACTACGCGACGCTCGGGGTCAACCTTAAATTTGCTGTCCCTTCTATTTTCGCAATTACAAAAGTAGTTCGTTCGGGCAGGCCTGGCCCGATTGTGCTTTCATGTTCGCCTGCCGTCGCCATCTTTGTGTCGTTCAGGATATCGGTTTTTCAAATAGTGGAATTCGGTTTTCTAATTTAAATTTAAAAAAAATTTAACTAGTTAGGGCTCGGCCACGTTCGCCGTGGCCTCCATTGCTGTGCCGCCCGGGGCCATGGCCCCCTCTGCACCCCCACGCTACGCCAATGAGGCACATCCATTACACACTTAAGATTCCACACACTTAAAAAAATCATAATGATCTTTAGAAATTAAAACATAGCGAATACTATTTAAAATAATTATGTAAGATGTATCATTCCACTCTGAATGTCTGATTTTTACGTTAGTTATACCATAGATGGGAATCAACGAGTATATAACCAGAAATAGAGGCGAAATGTCATTTACTTTGTTTGAAAGCTATTTTGCCATATCATTACTGTAACAACTGCGCTCCGATTGGCTAGCCCGAGTTCGAAACAATTGACGGGTGTCGTCGATGGGTGTCGTCAACTGTTTCACTTCACATTGACCAGTTAACTTGAGCTTTGCTATAATGAACGAAAATTGCAAACTTACACATTTAATTACCGATTAAATTTGATTCCGTTTGTTTTGTAATTAGATGTTTTGCTGTTTTTCCTCCCACCACCGAATGATACAGCACGCCATTGTTAGAGTGATTGATTATCTTTATTACAATAAATACAGAATATTTTTTGGAATATACGTAGACGTATACGCAGGTCAGTGGTTGGCCTGTCTATATTTCAGTGCAAACGGGAGTTGATATTTATAAGAGCTGTATCGCTAATGCGTTACCAGGAATATATGGCCCTTATTTCGTCTTTATTTCTGGTTATATACTCGATGATGGGAATGGTCCTCGGCCCAAAACATTGTTGAAAACTTCCGCGTGCTGTAGACGAAAATCGACCTAGAATATGGGCAGCGCGAGTTGGGGTTCCTAGTGTTCACCGGCGAGGATGCTTTTTATGTTGGGAAAATGTTTCATTTATAAGGCATTTGAGTCGAAACAGAAAGGCGGTGAAATAAGGGAATACTAACGATCGTCTTGGCTTTCTTTGGCTTCTTTTCTTTCTTCTTCTCCTTCTTGCTGTCGCCGGAGCCCCCTGATGCGTCCGAGTCCTCCGACGACGACGGGTTCGTATCGTATCTGCGTAACACAGTCATGTACATATTAACGATAAGTATCAATTTTGTATATCATGTTCGCCTGGGAGTCGAATTGATGATAACCGTTTACCAATTTTGGTTCTGATCACAAGTGTCTGCATTGTCATTAACATTAGTGAGTTTATGATTGCTATGTCATAAAGTTATAACAGTGATAAATAAGGTTAAACAACTAAATTGATATTTAAATAAACATTTAGGATATTGTGTTGATTTATGTCCCATGTAGCAAATATATTTTTTTTGGGAATTCAGTAATTTTGACTTCTCATAAATTGCACCCTTAATAGTAAAATGAAATTCGAAAAGAACATATTACCCAAATAAGTTCTTTTCGAATTTGAACGAACCTAAGTGAACTGACCAAACATTAAAAAATAGCGTATAATATACTCGTAGGTAACAGGTAAAGGACCTTCAAGTCCATATTTTCGAATTAAGATGCTTTTACAAACATTGGTTTATAATGCTAATAATCACGCATTTGTAAAGACATTTAAGTGTTGTCGTCTCGTTTGTTTTTATTTAACATAATTTATTTGACCTTCAGGTTGAAATGCCTAATTAAGAGTCTCATTCTCTTTAAAACGCTCTGTAGTAAAAATTACTATTTTGCACTTAAGGTCATATTAATAATAATATATATAAGGTTAAGGTTATATTAACAATAATATTTAAATCACACATTTCGAAATACAGCAAGGACTGTATATACTCACTCCTCGGCAACATCGCTTTCTTTAGCCTTGTCCGGATTGAAGTCCTCGTCGGTACTTTCATCGGAACCATCGCTGTCATCCGAATCGCGTTCCTTAGCCTCTGCCTTGACGCGTTCGAGATACGCATCCGGCTCTTTCTCTGTGTCTGAATCCCCGAAGTCATCGTCATACAGAGCTTTATCCTGGAAATTAAGAGTATGAAATTGATAGTGAACAGAACATATTTTTTTATAGATAATTATTTATAAACTAATTAATTATAAATAAGCGCTCATTTCACCTCCATCTCACCAAATGGAAAGTGACGATGGAGCATGCATACCTATATGATGCCTATTCACTGTCGCTTAGAAAAGGCTTAAGCTCCAATAAGAATACTAATAATATTATAACTAATACGAATAAGAATTTAAATCAAATAAGAACAAAAGCTTACATTTTTGCCAGTATTTTTAACGTGCAGTTTTTTAGAGGTGATGTAATCGAACAGTTTGTCGTATTCTCCCTTTTCAATGCTGCTGAACGTGTGCGTGGTGCCTGTTTTGAGTTCGATCTCGAAGTCGAAAGACCTGTGGAGTTAGTATTTCTAATAAAAGAAAAAATAAAAGAAAAATACTGTCCACTTGAAAATATGTGCTGCCAATATTTCAGTTTCCTTTTTGTAATCTGAAATTCCATTATACCTCGTCACCTTGGAGTGAAAACTTCGCATACGCGTTTTCACATAATTAGTTTTTACTCATTTTTGTTGAAGAAAAACTTATAAACCTCTTGCTCAAATATATTCTTAAAATAATATAGTATCTGAAAGGAGTATAATTTAACTACCTAATTAAAATGCTAACTACAAACATTATTGTGTTTACTACATTTTACATCACGTTTTTATTTTCGTCCTGAAAAATTACATAGAAATTTTTACTCTAAGACGACGATATGAATTTATATAAAATTGATAAGACAAAGGTCGCTACTTATTGCTTTTTTTGGGGTAGGGATAACCCACTTGGAATTTAATAAAATTATAAATATTATTATGCATTTTCCGATATCAAATTTTGTTATTAATTATTTTATAATTATTACTATCAAAACATATTTATAATTACATAACTTTATTAATTTATGGTCAAAATCGGACTCCAAAAATTACAAATTCAAAAAGGTAGGCATTATTAGAGATACGAGAACAAAAATAACGTAATTACACAAGAATGGTTAGGAGGCTACCTGAGCCTGACGCCGTTTTGACGCCTATTGCGTCTAAAATGAGTCGGTACCAATTTTAACTTGATTCAAATTGTAAAGTATGGTAAATAACAAACACATGACATGGCTTTTTATTGGTTTTGCCCTTTTAAATATAAAATATAAAAGGTAACTATGTATTATCAAAGTACTTTTGACAAAAACATAGTGTCGCCATAATATACAGATTTTGAAAATATGCGTTGTGCCAACTTTCGTTGACCAGACTACCATACTAGGTACCACTAGGTAGACTAGGTACCATGTTGTAGACAACATGGTACCATAAGAACGATTCAGAATAATGTAGAACAATTATATCTACTTAATGTTCTTATAAGATAATAATTCTATAAATTACTTGGTAGAAGAAGCTCCTCCACGAGCGAAGTTGACCGACGCGATTTCCTCGAAACGAATGTGCACAGGTGGCTTGTGCACATAAATAAATCCTTTCTCGAGTGGGTACAAGTAGCCAGCGGCTGCTTTGTACGAACAGGCAATGGCGGGCGTTTTGTGGTGACTGAAATGTACAGATATATCAAAAAAATCTGAATGATTATGAGTTTATCGAGTTCTTAGGTTTTCGCGATTATTACACTTAGGAAATGAAACTATTTTTCCGGATTTAAATCGCGTATATTTGTTTTTTCAAACAAATATACGCGATTATGAGTTTGTTCTTTGTTAGCACTGGGAATTGGTTGTTTTTAGTTGTATTTATAATAATAATAATAATAAAAAGTACATATGTGGCTGGAATAAACATGTAAAGGCAGCTCATAGTGAGGCTCGCTTTTGGTTTCAGTACTGGGTTCTATATAATAAGCCTCGAGCTGGGTATGTGTATGATAAAATTTGTGAATCAAGGAAAGTCTTCAAAGTTAAGCTTAAGTGGTGTCAGACAAATAAGCAGCAGATTAAGATGGACATTTTGGCTATGTATCACTCAGATAAACAATTTCCAAATTTTTGGAAACAAACTAAAAAGCTTAACCCAAAACCTTGTTTTCCAGCAAATATAGAGGGGCTGAGTGAGCCCTCACAAATAGCCGAAATGTTCAAGAATCATTTTATGGTGCAGTCGGCACTGGGTACAGGTTCAAGTGGCAAAAATAATAATAATACTGCCAGTTATGGTGAAAAATGGCCAAGCAATAAGCCGGTTGTAATTACTGCCGGAGATATTCGGTCTGTGTTCGGTAAAATGTCTCGGGGCAAAACTCCTGGGCATGATCACTTAAGCATTGAACATTTGCAATATGCTGGTGCACACTTACCACGAGTGCTGGCCATGTTCTTTTCCCTTTGCATTAGTCATGGATACTTACCGGACAGGATGTTAGAGACGATAGTTGTTCAGATTGTCAAAAATAAGACTGGCGATACGAGTGACAAATTAAACTACCGACCAATATCTCTGGCGACCATAATCGCGAAAGTGTTGGACAGGCTGCTTGATCAGCAGCTGGGCGCTCATATTAAGCTACACGATGCACAGTTTGGTTTTAGACCGGGTCTGTCTACTGAAGCCGCTGTCCTGTGTCTCAAGCAGACTGTCCAGTACTATACTGTGCGAGGTACGCCTGTTTATGCTGCATTTTTGGACTTGTCTAGGGCGTTTGATTTGGTTCAATATGACATATTTTGGAAAAAGCTCTATAATGATACAAGTATGCCGCCTGAGTGTATTTCCATATTAAAGTACTGGTATGCAAATCAAAGGAATTATGTTAAGTGTTCTGGGGGGCTCTCGGACGTGTACGGCCTGGAATGTGGCGTGCGGCAGGGGGGAATAACTTCTCCAGCCCTTTTTAGTCTGTACATGGACGGGCTGATTGGTGAGCTCAGCAGCGCCGGAGTCGGGTGTTCCATTGACGGTACCTTTGTCAACAATATTAGTTACGCTGACGATATGGTGCTGCTGTGCCCATCAATCAGTGCTCTCAGGAAACTCCTGCGCATCTGCGAGCGGTTTGCTGTGGCTCACGGTCTTAGGTACAACACAACAAAAAGTGTGCTGCTTGTGTTTAAGGCTGGATGCAAGACTTATAAAGTTCCGCCCGTAATGCTCAATGGTGATTCGCTTGGACAAGTGCGCAGTTTCAAGTACCTGGGACATTGGGTCACGGAATCGCTTAAGGACGATTTGGACATGGAACGTGAGCGCAGGGCCCTTTGCATTCGAGCTAATTTGCTTTCTCGGAGGTTTGCGCGTTGTACTAATGAAGTTAAAGTCACACTGTTTAGAGCTTATTGTAATTCTCTGTACACGTGCAGCCTGTGGTTGAATTATACTCAGGGTGCATACAGGGCTCTGCGTACGCAATATAACAATGCTTTCAGGGCGCTGATGGGGCTTCCACGTTACTGTAGTGCTTCAGGGATGCTAGCCACGTCTGAGATTGATAGCTTTTCTGCCATCATCAGAAAACGTATCAGATCCCTGTTACAGAGGGTGCGGGGCAGCTCCAACGGTCTCCTGCGGACAGTAGCAGATAGACTGCACGTGGACAGTGCTGTAATGCAGCACTGGACGCGCGTTCACATAACTAAGGACACCGCTGTCACGTACAATCATTATGTGCCGTAGTGGTGGCTTGTTTCCTTTTGTTTATTATAGATAATTCTGTCATAAATATGCTGTTACTAACATAGTATATAAGGTCACTTGTTACTAATACTATGGACTACGGTTCGAAATAAATGATTTTTATTTTTTTTTTATTTATTTATTTATGAACATTTATAAATTATACTTGATAATGTTAGGCTCAATTCACATTGCTGCAGAACGGAATGGTAGCGAATTTTTGTAACCATAGCATAATGAACTTTGTCAATTTGTAACTTACAATCTAGATACGAGCCAAAAAACAGATCGTGCGCCTTCCAGAGAATTCTTGTGCAGTCTCGGAAAATGTCATAGCTACCATCTCTTTTCTAGTTTGTACGCAAAATAATTTTTCCGTCTCGCGGCAGTGTAAATTGAGCTTATCTAATGAATGAATGTATTGAAAGTTAAATGTGTAAAACCCCTACTTTTTATGTTTTACCTGCCATATTTTACAAATGTATTTTTATTTTATAATATAAAATATGGCAGGTAGAGCATTTTTGTTATTTTAAGGCAATAAATGTGACGGACATAACATCCAGTTTTCGTTTTTCTTTTTTAGTTTGGGAGCTAGGCACAACTTTGCACCTGTTTTTGAGTCTTATGCAATAAAAGTATTATTATTATATTAAACTATTGGTAAAAGGTTTCTTGCCATGACATGACAGTTTTACTTCTCCCGATATTAAGTCATAATGTGGTAATAAGGAATAAAGAAATATGAAACCTGTGAAGAGTACAATAGTTTAGTGAATAAACACAATAGTCTTAAACTCTATATGCTCTCAATATTGATTATCAGGTTAATATTCACATACCCCAAAAAATCTCCTGGTCCAGTAACTCGTCGATTAATGATGACTTTCATGATTTTGGCAAGCACCTCGTATGTAGGCCCTGACAGCTCCTTTGTTATTTTGCCTTCATATTTCTCCTTTAATTCTTCTCTGCAAGTTCATCAAATAAAATGGTGCTAAATATACACAACACTTTTCTGGTAGCTTATAGTTAGATATACTCTAATAAACTTAAGTTAGTTTTGAAAATACTTATACAAAAAGTTGCAGCAAAAGATACACTGGTTTTGTTACATTTGATTTTGAAAAAGTAACCATCATTTGTCAACAATATCCTTCTTCTTCTTTTAAATGTTCTGGCCCCATCGAAATAATCAATGATTTTGCCAATGTCAAGTAAATATTTTAAGGTGCAGTAAAATTAGCCTTAACATTATTATCAACATATGTTTTACCTACAGATTGAAAGTATTCATATTTAATTTTGTGAGATCTAAATCACGTTTTTTTCTATGAAACGTGAAATGTAGAAGTCGCAACACTTACCAAAAAATCATAAAATTTAACAAAACTTACTCAGTAAAAGGAAGCTCCAAACTTGTCTCTTCTTCGTTACCAAACAATAGAACCAAATAATGATATCTTGTTTGACCCTGCTTGATAGGTGGGTCTAGAGATACAACAAAGAACATTTGTCTCATATCCTTGTGAGGTAATAAGAAGAGCCGAAGTACTGTAGACATCGGGATTTTGTAGTCAAATGTTTTACCATGCAATTGGAAGAACGTTTGAAATACTTTGATGTCATAGCGACCACTGGAAAAAAAACGCATTCACAGTTACGTATTTTTCCTACAAGGTATTTGCAGAAGACATTTGTTCTAGGTGCCAGGTTTGAAGTGGATATGGAGGTCAATCAAAATTAAACATTTCTCCAAGTAGGGCTATGTCATATTACAAAAACACAATAAGTTTTGCACAATAATAAAAATTGTTGTGCAAGAAGATTATGTTATGTTTACACACATCAAAAGGGTTTAGGGATAAAGCACATTTTTGCTAATTATTGAAAATCAGGTTTTTTAATAAAGTTTTTAACACTAAAGGTAAATTTATTTGGTCATTTCATTTTGAATTCAAATTATGAAATTGACTAAAATAATCCATCAGTGTAAAAAAAATAACTAAAAAACTTGATTTTCAGTAATCGCCAAAAATGCGAATGATCCCTTGACACTTCTGATGTGTTTATAAAAATATGTGAATAACTACCTAACATGCCATTCTATGCACTATATGTAATTTGTAATGATATCTTGACTACTATTTCTTCAATCTCAAGTTTCAATTTTACAAAATAGTTTGTATGGTACAAAAAACAAGGTCATTAACTTCTAATAAGACATGGCACTGGTAGAAGCATCTGTTAAAACTTGTTAAACATTTCTCATACCGAGGAGTAAGACACTGTAGCTCTCTGAAGATCGCAATAGCATCTCCCGAGACAGATATAACACTGGCTTTGGTCATGACCTGCTGATGGAAGGCCTCTACCGCATCCATGTCTCCCGCCAACTCACTAGTTGGGATGTGGAATCTCATTTCCATTAGTGATACTGGTGTGTCATCGTTCTAAAACATCCAATAAGTATGTTTTAACAATAAACATGATGTTTTCTTATAAAAGATTATATTGGCATTATATTATTAACATTTTTATATTTTAAGCCATAAAATTTAAAATTTACAAAACCAAATACTAAAAACATAGTTGTAGTTAAAATGAAGTAAATAGTGACAAGCTTTATAACCATTTACCTGATGAAACTCAAGTGTTACTTCATTTTTCCCTGTATTGCACTGAGACACATAGTGCAAAGGGATTTCAAAAGCTGTATTGGAGCCTACATTAAAGCTGAGCACAGCACCATTGAATTTGGCTGTGCCCCAATTCCATCCTTTGAGTGACAGCTCTTTTTCTAACATATCTTTGTTGTAGTTTGTCTTGAAGAATTTTGCAACTTTTTCTCTTTCCTGAAAATTTTTAAAACTGTGAGATGTAGCTACCAAGTCCAAGTAGTGTATAAAATGACAGCAAGTGATTTTTTGACTTATGAGGAGCTTAACCCATAATTTATATTATGAAGGATGTATTATTATTACATACAAATATGTGAGGGAATATTATGTCAATACACAAAACTCAGTGCATCCATTTAACTGCTGAAAGTGAACTATGATCTGATTACGAAAATAATGTTAGAAATCAATACTAACAAACAAGAAACTTCAGAAACCTCTTTTGCACAACAATGAATAATCAAAAAACTATTTCAATCCATAATGATCAGTAAGCTTTACATTAGCTTTATAATGTATTAACAGAAGATAATTTTATACAATCAGACATTTCATTGCAAACAACACTGGTCAAGTTGAAAATTAAGGGATTTTACTTCTGAAGGTCACTCATATCCAAAATAAAATGTGAGTATCAATAAAAATTATATAACCAACACACATACAGTTATTTGTTATACAATAATAGTTGACCTATTACCAACAATAGCTTAAAAAATCTTGTATATATGCAGTCATTTTCTTTCAAAATTCACCGAAGTCACTTAGGCAGTTTGCTAATGATTTGTTGTATTTTTTTCTATATACTACAAAATGGAATATTCCAAATGCATAAATTATAGCTCATACCTCTTCTTTAAAACCGCCAAACCTATGTAAAGTGCCGTTTTTCATAAAGATCCTGAGTCCAAAAGAGCCAATAAATTTTTGAAAATTCACTAACTCAATATCATTAGCTGTTATCTGCTCTACTTTCCCAGTCTTGCTGTTCTTGAATACTATGTTCTGATCCGTCATTTTCAATCTCCCAGGAACCTACATTCGGAATAAAATATCTCAAGTAAAGCCTGAATTAGGATAACAACAATGAAAGTAATCAATGATGTGAAATCTTACCATGGCTCCCTTTATTTCAGCTGTGACATGGTTATATTCTAGGAATTCCATTATTGATGTGATATAAGTTTTCTAGAAACTGTTTCGTTATTTAACAAGATGTAGTAAAATGTGATTCCACGCGTTTTGTCTTTTTGAGAAACAAGCGGCGGCACGACTAACGTCAAATTTATTGAATGAAAGAATGAACGAATTGCAAACAAATTAATTTTTTTAAATTGGTTTTTAGGGCTTTTGGTCTTGTATTTTGGGTTGCTATCATTAAAAAATTTCGAGGTAGTGTACGTATGAGACTCAATAGATGGCATTATTTTGTAAGGGTACCAAATGTCAATGAGTCATTCGTTCTGTCTATTTTTCGGTGAACCACAGAGAGTACTTAGAGAGTACAGAGTACGTGCAGGCAGTTAACTCATTCATTTTTTTGTGAATGGACGTGTTTATATTTTTGGGTGTCAAAATTTACGATAGTTTTTGTTCAAAAAATTATAAAAGTGCGATACGACTCAGTTAATGATTTAAGAATAGCGCAAGCAAAAGTGTACTTTAGTGAATAAGTTGAAAAGGATACTCCAGTAATTTAAATCGTCCTTATTTGAAAATCTCAACTCGGTGTAGAGGTCCCCATTTCGTAGGCGTATTTTGCATGTACGGAATCCATGGCGTCATTATCATTACCACGAGTTCTGCAGCTGAAGAAGAACAGCTTAGATGCTGAACGTGAGCAGTTCGAAAAGTTTCAGGTAAAGAAATTAAATGTTGTTTTTGTAACCTAAGATTACCTTGGAAATATTTATTGTTGTGGTCATTCGAAATCAGTTAACCCTGCGTTGGAAAGCAGTTGTTGTAGCGTAGATCCTAACTGCGGGTAAATATCTTTTAAAGGAACCAAAAATCACATCTTGCTATGGTTTACAAGTTGTAACACAACTATGAGTGGCAATAAAGAGTATGTCAAGGCTACTATTATGTTTAATGTAAAGTGCAGGCTGTATGTGGGATTAAGAAGTTAATGAAAATGAAACATGTATGTATATATAAATCTAAAAGACATGTTGTATAATTTAGTAATTTTCAATGTATAAATTCTATTATGCCTGTGCCAAATATTTGTGTATGAAACTGACTGATCTGTATTTATAATGTTATTGTGTATTTTCCTTCCTTTTTATTGCATGAATTTATTTATTGTAAGAAAAATTATGAACGAAATAATAAATATTAGACAACGTCATACAACATCACATTGCTCTTATTCCAAAGTAAGTAACTAAAGAGCCCTTGTGTTATGGAAATCGGAAACAATGACAGTACCACAGACACCTTGGAATGCTGTAATTATTGTATTTATTTTTTATTTTTTTCACCTATATAATTATTTAGTTTGTTAGTTATTATCTGTGGACAAGTTAATATACCTTTACCTTTTATTTAACTCGTAATAAGTCCCGCCAAAAAAATTACACAATTGGTTGCATGAGGTGTGGTGTGCAACACCCCAAATTAGAATTGTGAAATAAAACATAAAATACTTGCAAAAGCAGACTTTTATTAATGACAATATTTTAACACATAATAATAATTTAGATTAATTAAATAACACATAATTTTATAGCTATACAATATTAACTGTCTTTCTGACTTGTAAAAGTTTTTATAAATAAAAAAACTAGCATTTGTAAAACTGAATTTTCTTCATCACAAGTTTGGCAGACTAGACGGTTTTGGCATTTGTAACATTTAGTTATTGTTTTATGGTCCCGGTTAATTAAGTGAATTATGTTGGAAAAAGAATTGTTTTGTGAATGCACTGTCTTTCATAAAATTAATTTTCCTAAACTGTAAACTAATCACAAAAACTAACAAAAGTTACCAGTGGTATAAGACAGAAAACATGTGTTATAAAACAGAAACTTCTTATACAAGTTCACCCTATGAAATTTCACACTGCCTGTAATGACATGACATCAGAATAATTTTGAAGGATTATTATCCACAAATTATAGTTAAATGGAGTCAAGTGATTAGCAGAAGTCAGCATGCAAAGCATTAAAGTCTACACCCAGACACACTAACTTTGAAGTATATCATGTACATGAGGTAATGTTTACGACAACTGAGGTGGTACAGCTGCACTTATATGTATATTTTTTAGCCAGCTAAACCTTTGAAACACAGTGAAATCTGTATACAAAAATTTGTGCATTTATAGGAACACAGTAGCAAAATAGCTAGGTCTCATTGAAGACTTGGTATGTAGGCGAGTTCCCACTTGATAGAGGGAAGCAACTAGTTACGCCACCTGCGTCCGCGTCGCTCGCCATTCGCACGCGTGGCGCAAGCTTTGCGTCACGCTGTGTATGAACATTCACATAAATGTGTATTAAATACTGAACAGGATTGGCATTGAACGCATAATGGCCATCATAGAAAAAGTAAACATCAACATGTTGTAAAAGTACTACCCTCAAACGTAGTTAGTACTTTTACAACTACTAAAATAAAAAGGTGTCACGCAGGAATCAGAAATATTTAGTATTTATGTGCAAAAATAGCTGTTTTAGTAAAAATAGTACCTATTACATATATTTGTTACTCGACTTAACTATAATGACTTGAATAATCTACATTGTGTAGCAATGTTGTTTTTGTTATCGTATAATGACTAATACTCGCTTTAAAAAAATACAAATCATAATGTAGTTTATTTGTGATGAGGAATGACCTGTTGAAAACTTCGTAAGTTTTTATTTTTGTAAAAACGCCCACTGCCATGTACACGCTATTGTCAATTAGTCAATAAAAAGCCCTCAAAGTTAATTGAAATGTCCGATATCGGGTGTTTCCTTTATCATCATTTAGATAACGATCGTTGTGACTTGACGCATTCGATAACTTATCTCCGTCGTTCAGTACTTGCGCCAGTTTCAGATAGGTTATTTTCAAGGCACATTCTCTTTACTTTGAAATTAGAAAATTAGTGAAATGATTAGTGTAAATAGTTAAAAAAACCGGTACTATCTGCTGTCAAAATATTGGGTAAGTTTATTATTCAATTCGAATGTACTGAAATGGGCATACGCAAACGAAACAGTGCACAGTGTGTCATTTTACTTTAGTTGCGGACATCCTCGTTTTATGTGTTTTTAACAAAGATAATATTCAAACAAAGTTCGTAATAAAACTCTCCACGCTGTATCTATCATAGTTTTAGAGAAAGTTAGAAAATCGAGAAAAATCGTTGTAAACCATAGAATGAGATTATTTCCTTTCCTGTAAATTATTTTTCTTTAAATATTTCATGTTATAATAGAAAACTACTAAAAACACCAATAAATCTAAAAAATTAAAAAATATCAAGCTTTCCTAGACCACAATTAATTTTTTTCTATGATTTCGTTATTTTTTTCTGAAGATTTTTTACATATTAGCATTTTTTTTCAACGCCGATATGTTAATTATAGTAATAATTATTACCACAGAACAAACCAGATGCGACAAATAGAGGAGTTCAGAAATATTGAATTTTTAAATTTTATGTTAGGGTTGTCACTGAACATTTATCCTGTCTGCAAAGCGCAATATTATATATTCACAGCTTACTTTACTCAACTTCTTAATTTTATTTTCGTCGAGAGTGCTGGTGATACAGCGGAAATGACCCTAACCTCCGATTCTAAAGTGGCACAATATGTTACAGAGGTCATTTTTCGGATAGGTATTGACATTCCAAAAACTTGTAGATCTGATCTGATTTAAAACAGTAGAGTACAACTTCCAAATAGCCGTGATTTGTGGTGTTTTTAGGTAATTGAGGTAAATAGAAGCATTTTATAACAATATCGTTAAATTTGAACAAAACTTTGCAAGTATTTAATAGTAAATATTTTTTACCCTCAATTTGGGCGTGAAACCTGAGTGCTTACCTATTTCTGGGGTGAGCCGTATATGATCCTTGATCAAAGGTCGGAAAATTTGATGTATATTGTACCTACAATTCGGTACCTTGCTAACATGGAATGCGCTTTTGTATCGGGTACCGTGTTTTGAAGCACGGTGTAAGGAGGTCACACCGTCATAAACTTACGAAGTTAAGTATAAAATAAAAGGAAAATAAATGTTATAAAGCTTTTAATATTTTCAACCTCAGCTAATGCAACGTTAGATAGAAAGAGATAACTGTAAAATAATGTAAAGGTGCGAGCAAGATAGATATACCTGCTTGTGCCCGGCAGTGTGTTATTTTGCCTTAGTTGCGGACATCCTCGTTTTATGTGTTTTTTTAGAAAGCCAATACTCAAGCAAAGCTCTTAATTCATTAAATATTTCATGTTAGCATAGAAAACTGCTAAAAGCGCCAATAAGCCCAAAAATTAAAATAATATCAAGCTATCCTAGAGCACAATTAATTTTTTTCTATAGTTTGATCCATTTTTTTCTGAAGACTTTGTATATGTATTAGCATGTTTTTTCAACGCGGATTTGTTAATTACAGTAATAAGTACTACCATAAACCTTAAAACCATAAAAAAATCCAGATGCGATGAACAAGAGACCAGAAATATTGAATTTTCAAATTTTGGGTTAGGGTTGTCATTAAATATTTTTCCAGTCTGCAATTTGCAATATTTAATATTTATTGAGTGTAGCACATTACCTATAGGTATGTTATCGGAATAAGCCGGTAAATCAAGGAGCAAGTTTTGATCCACAGCACGATCATCACAGACTTGTTTCACCGTGCACTGGAATCGTCTGTTCTTTATGCATCCTCTTTGACTCTTAGTACACGTCACAAATATAAAAAAATTCTACCTATACCTGACAAATTTCTTCGCTCTCTAAGAGTGACCGCGGAAAATGTTCCTTACCATCATTACCCATCAGAAGACATTAGTATTGAAACTGCTGATATCACGCTAGCAACAGACGAAATCCCATAATGAGGAAAATGTATGAGCTTTCAGCATTTGCCAGGATAATTTATCTTTATTCACACGTAATGCACATACGTGAATATTATAATAAAATATGCCAATAAAATAAGCCATAATAAAATATGCCAATACTATGTAACATACATTGTTTTAAATTATTTTTGACACAATTACTTCAAATTAATTTATTTCACTTTATTGATTTTAAATTTAACTAATGTAACTTAAAAATGTACAAATTCAATTAATGTACCATATGGACTATGTTATCAGAACCTCATAAAGGAATTTGAATTGTTGTGGGCTACCAAAGCTCCCACATGTATGAATAAAATTTTATATTTACTAACACTAAAATAAGTTCACATCTTTGTATCTCCTACCACGTACAAGTCTATTCATATTCGAAATAAATATGTTATTATTGTTGTTTTAACACATAATTCACCATTGATTTACGTAGTAGGGTAAAAATTTATACATTTTGTGAGAACCTTATTTCCGTAGAAATCTAAAAAGAACCTTAGAAACGTGGTATCTCCGAGATCTTCCGAGATAAACGTTTACTTTTTCTTTATTCGATAGATGCATTAATGAAGTATATTTTGAAGGTAAAAAAAAATGCTGATTTAGTACGGTTAATTTTATATTTAAATATATTTTTAAAATTAATAAAATATTTTTTTTCTCCCTTTTTTGTGCGCTTAAGGACTTACGATTTTCACATTTAATAAAGTTTAAAAGGACAGTCAATTTGTATTTTTTTCAAAGGGAAGTTTCGCATATTCGGGAAATACAGACAAAAA